GTTTATTCAAATAAATCTAAGTTGTCTGAATCTTGGCTGGAGGCTGAACGTGACGGTGACCATGATGACGGCGGTGGTGGCGGCGTGGTAGACCACTGTTGTGTTGTTGAGGGTCTAGCAGTAGTATATCCAGAATATGTCGGTGTAGAATATGTGTATTGGTGATGATTAGTATCTAGTGGTAATGATTGATGATAATTCTGTGCTTCTTTAATGACATTGAGTAATTCAATCTTTGTAGTTAAGCGTCGATTTTCGGGCACTTTTTTTAATTCACTGTACAATGATAAACAGAATAGTTTATCATCGTCTTCTTTAGTTAGTCGCCCCATTTCATTTTGTTCCCTTGCATTTAAACTTTTCTGTAAAATGTCGACTATTTGTTTATCTACAGCATTTATTTTCTGTCTTTTCCTTGGGCCTTCCATTTGATCTTTAGGAGGTGGCATCAAGTCTGCATTGTCTATAATATTATCTACATCTGAACCAGTTGTGCCAGAAGATTGGTAATTGCTCTCTGTGTCGTTATATGCTGTAGAATTCGCAAGAAATTGTAATTTCCTGTAATACACATATGGCGTATGTTTGGAAGATTCAGATCCAGATGGAAGCTTTTTTTGCCTCTTAAGACTCCCTGAGATAATTGTCCCGAATGCTTTTCCATTTTTTCATAAGTATACCACCTGAAAATAAACAATAACCATTTTTATTTTGACAGATACTTGGCCACAGGCTGCTCTTTCGCTGATTTGCATTACGCGGTATCCGTCTTGGAAAATCGACAATTATAAAGATAGTGGAACAAGTTTGTAAAGTACTATGGAGCAAATTGAAGTTTACATCAATGCCTGAAATGACAACAGAGAAGTGGAAAGAAGTAAAAGAAGGTTTTAAGAAATACGCTAACTTCCCAAATTGTATTGGTGCGATTGACGGGAAACATATTGAGCTAATACAACCAGAACATACAGGGTCGCTTTTTTACAATTATAAAACATACTTCTCATCAGTCTTACTAGCAGTTTGTGATGCAAATTATTGTTTTGTATACGTTGATGACGTTGATGTCGTATCCTATGGCAAAACCAGTGATTCTGCTATTTTTAAAAATTCCGAATTTTTTAAACGGATTGTGAATAATAAGTTAAACATTCCTAACCCCAAGCCTTTATCAAATATCGATAGAACTCCATTGCCTCATGTGTTCGTCGGCGATGAAGCATTTGGAATTATGTCGAATGTGATGCGGCCGTATGGAGGAACACAACTCACACACACAAAAAAAGTTTTCAATTACAGATTATTGAGAGCAAGACGCTATATTGAATGTACTTTCGGAATAATGAGCAATAAATGGCGAATATTTCATAGACCGATAGATGTAAACATTGATTTCGCGGAGAGTATCATCAAAGCTTGCACAGTAATACATAATTACGTTCGAATGCGCGATGGTTACAGATATGAAGATACACTTTATGTTTCACCTCTACAATCTATACATTTAGAAAATTTACCACGAGGCAGCTTATGTGCTAGAACAGCAAGAGAAAAATTTGCCAATTATTTTGTGAACGAGGGAAAATTACAGTGGTAAAACAACATGATATAATTATAGAAAACATCAATAAATAATTATACTCACCCAACAGTTTTTTCTTTTCCAAATTGTCTTCACAGTCACTAAAACTTTCAACTATTTCCTCGCAATTACGTTTTTTTAATATTTTATTTTTATAATCTGGACTTTGCATGTCCCATATAGCTGGACGCTTTTGGATTTCGTCGATAAATAAATCTGATATACGTGCACCCTACACGAAAGCGCGCGATCAAATGTACAGCAAAATGGCGGTGCATGTATCTACAAGCGCGCAGCTGACGCCCGCGCAACGCGCGTTCCAACGAAATTCTGAGAGCGCGCGTCCGACGCGCGCTTGATCAGAAGCGCGCGCTTGCATGTGTACACTTCAATAGGGACTTTTGGATCTCAAAACGCGCGTTAGTAAACCGCGCGTTTCAAAGCGCCCAATGTGTACCCGCTCTAAGTGTATGGTTGGTCTGGATGAATTTGATTCAATATAATACGATACGATTATTTGACTACCCACCCAACGACACCTATACACATTTTGGATTTCTTGATTGGGTGAGTAATGTACTCGTTATATTAATTTATTAGGTTATGTTATTTTGGTTTTTCATTAGGTTTGTGTAGGCACGTGCAAAGTGACCGTGTCATTTCAGGTTAAAAGTATATGTAAAGCAGCTTGTGAAATTACAGTTGATATTTTTTTTTATTTGCCTAATTTAATGATGACAATAATTAATTTAATTTACCATCATGTAGTTCTTATTTTTATTAACGCTTAAGCGAGCATCAAACAGACTTATACCGAATACAGTGACAGTATAATTTTTTTTACCCGACTGCGCAAGTAGAAGTGTTATGTTTTTCGAGCGCATGTATGTATTTTTTTTTTATAGAATAGGGGGCAAACGAGCATGCGGCTCACCTGATGGTAAGTGACTACCGCCGCCCATGAACAACCGCAACACCAGGGGAATTGCAGATGCGTTGCCGGCCTTTTAGAAAGGTGTAAGCTCTTTTCTTGAAGGTTCCTAAGTCGTATCGGTTCGGAAAATTCGCTGGTGGTAATTGATTCCACAAAGAAGTTGTGCGAGGGAGAAAACTTCTTCTAAATCGCACAGTGGTGGACCGCCAATCATCCAGATGGTATGGATGGTAACGCGAGTTTTGTCGCGACGTGCGATGGTGAAATTGAGCGGCTGGAATTAGTCCGAACAATTCCTCAGAGCACTCCCCGTGATAGATGCGATAAAATATGCAAAGAGATGCAACATCTCTACGCAGTGCCAGTGTATCGAGCCGATCGGAAAGAACTCGGTCGTCGACGATTCGAATCGCTCTGCGCTGGATGCGGTCAAGTGGAAGGAGCTGGCACTGGGGTGCCCCGGCCCAGAGATGAGAACAGTATTCCATGTGGGGTCGAATTTGCGCTTTGTAAAGTTGCAAGCGATGTGCCGGCATGAAATACTGTCTCGCTCTGCTGAGCACGCCAAGCTTTTTAGAGGCCAATTTGGCCTTCCCTTCCAAGTGACCACGAAACTGCACGCTATTCGATATGTCGATGCCAAGGATTCCGATACTGGCTGAGGCAGCAAGGGGAGTGCCTTGAAACTGAGGAGATACGACAAAGGGGTTCTTTTTAGCGGTAAACGCGCAAACTTGTGTCTTCTGGGGATTGAACTGGACTAGATTTAGTCGGCCCCAAACCGAGACTTTGTTAAGCAAAGACTCGACTTCAGACACAAGTTTGTCCCGGTACTCGGCGACGTTTTCCCGAGAAATATTGGCACGGCCGTATGTATGTATGTATGACATAAAAATAAAATCTATTTTTAATAACTTGTAAAAATAAACAATGTTTTTGTTTCTTTACAGATAACCAATTAACTATGCCTTCCAATAAAATAAAAAGTAAAATTTGGAACTACTTTAAGAAAATTGGTGACAAGGAGGCTATTTGCAATATATGTAACAAGAGTCTTAAAACTTCTGGGAATACGACAAATCTTCGAGGTCATTTAGAAAATGTACATTCCCAGCAATTGGAAGATATTGATGTATCCAGCAAGAAAAAAAAGGTCGGTAACATTACTAGTTACATGTGCATAGATGAAGCAACTGCAAGTACCAGTAGTCATAATGTTGACCTTTCATTACAATCAAACATCGACGTTGACGTTAACCAACCATCGACCAGTTCAAGCAGTGTTAAAGATTTAGTATCACCTTCATCTCAAAAGTCAGTTGCTAATGTTGCTAGTACATCGTCAGACATTGTTATTTATTCTAAAAAACCTGCTCAGCCAAACGTAGATGATTTTATAAACAATATTAAGAGTATAACTACAAAGATGGTGCAAAATCAAAGAAAATAACTGAGGCCATTACGAATTTCATAATCATGGATAATAAACCATTTTCGACTGTTGAAGGTAAAGGTTTTCGACAACTGATGAAAGAAGTGTGTCCACTGTACAACGTTCCAAGTCGAGAGACAATTAAAACGAGAATAGATGAAAAATATGAGGCATTGAGGCATCTTTTTAAGATGTACATAAAAAACATTTGGACCGAAACCATGCAAAACAAATCAGTTTTAGGTGTTACTATTCACTTTTTGAATAAGTGTAAGTCTCGACTTCTCAGTGGAACTTTAGGCGTTTTTGAGTTGACCGAAAGCCATACGTCGCTTTACATTATTCAGAAACTTACCGATATTTTCACCGATTGGAATGTTTCCATTGAAAAAGTTTCAGCTGTTATTACAGACAATCATAACACTGTTATGAAGGCCAATCGGGAAATGTTTGGAGAAAAAAAAATCATTCCCTGTTTTGCTCATACAATTAATTTAGTCGTAACAAAATCCATTGATGATTCAAACAATTGTACTGAGTTAATAACCAAAGTTAGGGATATAGTTAAGTTTATAAAAAGGAGCGTCAATGCAAGTGACGAATTACGGAAGAGACAGTTAGAGATGGGACTAAAAGAAGGTCAATTAAAAAAAATTATACTCGATGTTCGCACAAGATGGAACTCTTGTTTTTATATGTTTCAACGGTTCTTGTAATTGGTGTCCATTGTAGGATCAATACTTTTGACTCGACCTGAAGCTCCACCAATGGTCTCAAGCAGTGAACTGGATTGCATTAAAGAAATGATAGAATTACTATGCCCGTTTGAGAAATTGACAAAAGAGTTTTCTGGAGATAGTTACGTAACGGTAAGCAAAGTGATTCCGCTAGTTAGCTGTGTCCGTGAAGTACTAGAGAACATAAAACCAAAAAATGAAATAATACTTCAATTTGAAGAGGAGTTAAAGAAACAAGTAGCTAGAAGATCTGATACCCTAGATTATTCCTCAATCCCAGCTATCTGAACTACTCTTGACCCCAGATTCAAGTTCATGCATTTTAAAGATCCAGTGGCCAAAAGTAAAGTATTTAATTACTTAAATAAATTTGTACGGGAATATAACAGCTCGCCTGGAGCTGCAACTGCAACAAGAAGTGACACCTCTGATGAATCTGATAAAGATGATTCTGAATTTGACATTTGGAAATACCATAAGCAGCTGACACATAAAAACATGAAAAATAAATCATCTGCTACAGCTATGCCACTATCAGGCTCCATCAGCGAAACCGAGGTCCAGATGTACCTTTCATCTCCTGTAACACCAATAAAGAGAGATGCCATTGAAAATTGGAAAGATATGAAATCTCTTTTTCCAAAACTTACAAAAGTCGCAATGATATACCTTCCAATTGTAGCTACGTCTGTCCCAAGTGAGCGGTTGTTCTCGGAAGCTGGAGCAACCATTACTCAACAAAGAAATAGACTGTTAGGGTCTAGATTATCTAAGCTTCTTTTCCTTAACTCTGTGTCAAGACTATTAAATTCTAAATAAACAATGTAATGTAATAAAATGTTATCTACATTTTATTACATGATAAATGACAAAGATGATTCTGCTGCTGAAGCAGCTGTCATAACATCATATCTAAGTTTGTTTTCTTTAACTCTGTCTCAGGATTGTTATATTATTCAAAATAAATAACGTTTGTGTAATAAAATGTGTTTTAATGTAATAAAATGTGTTAATGAAGCATCCTATTAAAAAAGTAAAACATCGGCAAAAACATCGATATATCGCCCATTTCAACGATATTTTTGCACATCGATGATTTAAAATATCGATGTTTTCCAGAACGATGTTGCATCCCTAGTGACAACGCATCTGCATTTTGATTCGTGTAAATCCACGGCAGAGAGTAAAAAAGGCGAAATTTTTTTTGTGGGTATTTTACCTTTTTTTTCATAGTTAAACTGTTGTCAGAGGGTAGTAGTAAACTATTATGAAGTTTGTTCCCATATTTGTTATGTGTGTCCTTGACAAATGAAGCGTCATTCATTACTCTCAGCAGTTTTGTGAAAGTAAGGTGAAAAAGCTATTAAAATATCATAAATTAACTAAAGTTTAAGTGTAACAATTGGTAAGTACACCTACATTTTTTATAATACGTTGGATAATGTGTGTAAAACTAAAAACTTATTCTTATTTGATCAAACTTATCCAAAGATATACCCATTTGAAAATCCGTTTGTTATTTGAAACGCAAGTTACCATTATATCATAATATTATAAATTTATCGTGTTACATTAACATTTAGGGAAATAACTGTTATGTTTTTCTTAAATATAGTTAAGGCGCATACAATTATCTCATTTGTTTGCTTTTACAGGATAGAGTTTTATTTTTATTCGCTTAACAAGCTTGTAACGCAAGTTACCGGTAATCAAATCAAATCAAAAAGTTACCGGTAACTTGCGTTACATGAGTTTAATGACAGTTACCTTTACAATATCATTTTAATAGCAGTTGCTATGCCACTCAGTGCTGCAGAAAAGATGAAGAAGAAGTGAGAAGTTGAAGGAGGCCGGTAAATATGATGAATAAAAAGAAAAAATTAAACAAGCTTGTCGTAAAACTAGACAGAAGAAAAAGAAGAAATTGAGCGCCTACCTTTATCGAAAAAAGCGAAAGTTATTATAGAAAATCGAAGAAAAACCAAGGAAAGAGTAAGAAAGCATCGACTTCAGAAAAAACAGAACGAACAAACAAACACAATAGTAAATGAAAGTTCTATCCGTGTGACACCACAATCCATTGGTAAAGCTGTAGTTCGTGCTCGTAACGCATTGCCGGCTTGTCCCATAAAAAAGCAATTGGTGCTTGGAAGACTTTTGGATGAATGCCCGAAGGAAAGCCCTCCTACTATGCACGGTGCATCTGGATTAGACAAGAAAGTCATTCTTGAAATACAAACATTTTATCAGCGCGATGATATAAGCCACCAAGCACCTGGCTTAAAAGATTATGTCACAGTTCGCAATGAAAGAGGAGAGAAGGAAAAAATGCAGATCCGGCATTTATTTTCATCAGTGACTGAATTCCATATTCCATGCCCATTCACTATTTGTTCAAGAGTTTGGGAATATTGTGGGACGAAGCAAGTTTGCTGAGCTCCGGCCAAAGCATGTTTACCTGTCCAGCAAATTGCCACATAATGTTTGCTTATGCAAATACCACGAAAATTTCTCGCTGGCTGTGAATGCATTACATGACCTGATAGGAAGCCCACGTTACGATCACAATTTTGTCAGTGGCTTTGTTTGCACAGCTCCAACAACAGCATGTTGGTTGAAAGACTGTAACCTCTGCAAGGACTTGTTAGAAAACAAACTGGACGAATATTTGGACAGTTGCGAAAATGTGGGCGCTGACGTCGAGACTAACTGGTTTGTGTGGGCAGATTGCAATGGAAAAGTAAGTAAAATTCAGGTAAAAGGCACAGTAACTGAACTGATCCAGACGATAGTCGACATGGCTCCTAAGTTCTTTGAGCATACCTACATCAAACGGAATCAAGCCTCCTCCTACCAAAAACACAAGATTGAATTCTCCAACAGAACTGATTCGGACACGGTCCTGATTCAGGTGGATTATTCTGAAAATTACACATGGCTGGCCCAGAACGAAGTGCAGTTTTCACTGGGTGCAACCTCAAGTAACTTTATTTACAGTCTCGCTGTGGATGTCAGGTGAACAACATCAGATTGTACTGGTTTCTAATGATCGTCGTCATGATAAAAAGACAGCTATTGTTTACATCGACTGAGTACTGGAAGATTTACCAGCAAACGTCATAAAAGTGCACTTGTGGTCGGATGGCCCAGCTTCTCAATTTAAAAACAAATACGTCGCCGAATGTATTAAAAATCTCGAAGAAAAGCATAGCCCGCAGCACCTGATGTGGAACTACTTTGCTACATCGCATGGTAAAGGTCCGGTTGATGGAATTGGAAGAGCATTGAAAAGGACGGTAAGGAGCAAAGTCTTAAAAAGAAAAGCAATTGCGTTAAATACCGATAGGTTTGCAATAGCAGCAAAAGATTCAACTGTGAAAGTGATCGTGGTTTCAACAGAGGAAATTGAAGAACGAGCACGACTTCTACAATTGGAAGAAAGTTTTGCAAAGGCTCCTTGCGTTCCTGGAATAGCTAAGTGTCACATCATGTTCTGGAAAAATAATATGCTCCAAAAAAGTCTAATATCAAAAGATTTTTATGAGAAAATCGAAGAAAATGTTGGGGCTAACGATTCATGGAATGACGATGATAACCTTCCCTTATCCGAATGGAAAAACAAGCATTCATAAAGTTCAAGTTGGAAGTAACGCAAGTTACTATTTTCGTGTAACGCAAGTTACCGTTGTTTTCTATTTTTTTATTATCTGTAATAAAATAAAATTACTATTTGTTGATTAAAATACTTTGACTCCTGACATAATCGACTTTAATTTTTTTTTAATTTTAAGTTAAAAAACTCATTGAAATATTCGATTAAACTCAAGTCTCAAAATGTCATGTCCTTTTTATATAACGCAAGTTCCCAGAATGTCGTAGAGTGCTGGTTCGAAGCTATGCTGTAGTTTCCAGTAATATTCAATTAAATAGAATGAGGTCACAATGTAGACTCTAATGTACAGACAAAGTAAATTAGATAACTTTTAACAATGACATAAAAGAGGTTTGTTTGCCGATCAACAGTTCCAAATGTAACGCAAGTTACCGTTAGCTTGCTACATATATATTTATCTATGGTTACCGTGGATTTACCCATTCTCAAACGAGGATAGATGTAGATTTTTATGGGCCACAGCAGCCTTTCTGATTATTCAAAGTACTCTGTGGCAACCACTTACCATCAGGTGAACTGTGTGCTCGTTTGTTACCCTATCCTTTAAAAAAAATCCCTATTAATATACAATATATCATTAAAAAATTTTTACATATCTTAGACTTATTTTCTGTTGACAGTTTTCATAATTTCACTAACCTCCACCTTGAAGCATGACGCCATTTTAGGATGACGTTCATTTGTGGTAGTTCGTCTGTCATCTAAGCCTTGTTCAGAGTTATTTTGCAGTGTTACAGTGAATTTTGACTATTTAGGAGCTTTTTTGTTCATTAGTAAAGGGTAATTGAGCAAAAACAACATGACAAAGTGTTGCATCAATGGATGTAATTCAAATTCTCGTAAAAATGAAGAAGGAATGTCATTTTTCAGGTTAGCTGTAATTTTTTTCCATAAATGTATATTTTTTCATGTTCATGTTATGGGTTCTAAATCGTGTTTCCCGCTATTATCTAGAATTTCCAATGACTATTATCATCTAAATTTAACCTCTTCAGACCGTAGGTACTCATACGAGGACCTTAGCATTTTTAGAATTGCAACAGTTAGCGACATCGTGTGACAACTGTCAATACTAATGAAAGTCGATAAAGGATACAGAGCTTCTATCTAAACCGATAGATGGCTTTTAGACAATAGTTTTGACACGTAAAATTAAGTTTGAAATTGTTCGTTTGAAAATTTTCCGTAGGTCTGTCACGTTCGAACTTTGAAAATCAATATAAAATTATTTTGTTTGCTTCAAGTCGAAAGTGTTGTAGTTTTGTATAGCTGAATAACTAAATTTATGTTTGAAAGGGTGAGTTTTTGTTTCTGTTTGTTTTTCATTGTATCAAAATTCGAATTTTTTTGCTGTTCCACGTATGTGGACCTCAGGATTTAACGTTGGTTTTAATAGCATATTACTATTTTTCAGTTCTATCATGAATGACCGGGATATTGAGGATATGCTCAATAAAAGTGACTTTGACTTCTCTGGCAATGAAGATGACAATGATTACTTGCCTCCAGAAGTGGTAAGGGCTCTTCATCAGTCCGACGATTCAGAAGAAGATGAAGAAGAAAATTTGACAGAAGCGGAACCTGGAAGGTCAGCACCGTTGTTTTGGCGTACAAAAGAAATGCGTTGCCGTGGACCAGACATCGCAGATGATGAGCTCGTAGCGCAGGGTACTTCAGAGATGAACATTTTGTATTGTTTTTTAGGAGTACTTGGGAACAGAATTCTGGGAAATGGTGGCTGAACAAAGTAACATTTATTCTGCTCAAAAACGTGATCTAAAATCATTGAAAACAAACTCCATTGAGATTATTCATTTTGCGGGTATGCAATTATTGATGGGTACTCTTAAATACCCCCAAGGAAAACTTTATTGGACTAGAGATTTATGTGTGCCTATTATCAGGGATACCATGCCTCGGGACCGATTTTTTGAACTTCGCAATTATCTCCACTTCGTAGACCTGAACTGTCCAGATACTAACGACAAACTATGGAAAATAAGGCCAATAATTAATCCAATTTTAAAGAAATGCCACAGTTTGCCTCGTTCTAAACACATGTCCATAGACGAGCAAATGATACCATTTGCAGGGCGATGTGAGTACCGTCAGTACGTTCCAAGTAAACCTAATCCACTTGGACTTAAAAATTTTGTACTCGCTGCCCGAGATGGAATAGTGTTAGATTTCGAAATATATGTTGGTAAAGACACCATATCACCAGAAATTATGAAAAATTTGGGACTAGGAGGCGGCATTGTGCAAACTCTTTGCCGCACCATTGAAAGCAGTTGTGTTCTTTACACCGATAGGTTTTTTACTAGTTTAAAACTGGCCGAGCATCTTATTGCAAATAATAATCAAATATTTCTAACTGGAACTGTTATGACAAATAGAATTGGCCCAGTATCTACGAAATTGAAGCCAGACAAGGAGTTGCAGAGAGGGGCCTGGGATGAAAAAGTCCGAAATGATGATAACATATGTATCGTGAAATGGAAAGACACAAAAGCGGTAACATTGCTATCTACATGTACAGGAGGTGAGCCAGCAACTACGTGCCAGCGTTGGTGTAAGGTTAGAAAAGAAAAGATAGATGTGACACAGCCAGCTGTTGTAAAAACCTACAACACTTGCATGGGCGGAATAGACTTGTGTGATCGGCTCATTGCATATTATCGGAGCTCAATGCGCACAAAAAAATGGACAGTTAGAACGTTTTGTCACTTTCTCGACCTTGTGGTTGTCAATTGCTGGTTGATGTACATGCGTTGTTGCAAAGTTGAAAATGTGGAAAGCAAGCATAAGCTGGGATTGCTTCAATACCGCTTGAATTTGGCTAAAGCCTTGATGAAGTATGACGGTGGTAGAGTGGACCCAAATTTTATGCGTCCTGGCTCCAGATCTCAATCTAGCCCTGGCCCCTCGGCAGTTTCCAACTCAAAAATCACGGACGTGGGCTGTGATGAGCCTCCTGCAAAAAAAAATCGAGCGGTTGTACCCCATCCGCTACCTGAAACAAGGCTGGATAATGTGGGCCACCTGCCACGATTCATTGATTCCAAGAACGCATCCAAATGTCGCCATCCGACATGTTCATCCAAATGCCGCACTATGTGTGTAAAATGTCATGTTTTTTTATGTATATTAAAAAATAACTGTTTCGAGAGTTACCATTCTAATAAGAACTTTGGACCGCATTAAGACCCAAGGTCCACATATGTGGAACAACTTTTTTTTATATTAATAATAATAATAAAAAAATTTTAAAAAATTATAGTTTTTATTTTGACCCCAGTAAGTATAAAAAACGCAAAAAGTTACTTATACATAAGTCCCCTCTAGTTCAGGTCTGAAGAGGTTAAACAAGTAAACATTTTGATTGTTTACATTTTTACATAGCGTTGCCCTTACGTGCTGTCATGTTTTGAAATTATCGATATAAATTTTAACAATAATATTAATGTAGTCCTATGATCAAATAACGTTTTAGATACGTAAACTGTATATTTAATCAAACGATCGATTGAGTCTTTCATTTAAGAAAAGAACTTGAAAATAGTGTAATTCGTAAATTTTCTATAATAGTTTTTTTCATCAAAAGATTTGATGTTAAGATTATTTTTGGCTTAGCTTTCCATTGACGTCAGTCGAGTTTGGTGTTGATACCTATTTTTACAGAAAAGTTACACTATTATAAGCACACACACAAAGTTTCAACATGCGGAAACGCGTAATTTTTGAGAAAAGAATTATTGAAAATCAATTATTCTTGCAATGTTTATCATCATCATCATCATCATTACAGCCCTTCACAAGTCCACTGCTGAACATAGGCCTCCCCCAAAGAATGCCACAAAGCACGGTCCTGAGCCACCTGCATCCATCGACTTCCTGCATGTCTTACCAGGTCGTCACTCCATCTCGTGGGGGGACGCCCTACACTTCGCCTACCGGTACGAGGCTGCCACTCGAGAACCTTTCTTCCCCATCGGTTGTCGGTTCTCGAGCTATATGGCCGGCCCATTGCCACTTCAGCTTACTAATCCGTTGGGCTATGTCGGTTACTCTGGTTCTACTGCGGATATCCTCATTCCTAAGTTTATCACGCAGAGAAACTCCGAGCATAGCCCTCTCCATAGCTCGCTGAGCGACCTTGAGCTTCCTCATCCGGCCAGCAGTGAAGGACCACGTCTCAGTTCCGTATGTCTTCACTGGCAACACGCACTGGGTGTACAGTGTACAGTGCAATGTTTATGCCTATTATTAATCCTAACATAAAACTGGCGCCATTTTGTAATGTCATTGTCGACGTCAATAGGGATGTCGATTCTTTCCGAAGGTCGATTTTTAAATCGATTCAAATCGTAAGCTGATGTATCGGTTCACAAAAAATCGTTTTCTAAAATATCGATATTTTTTTCATGTTTGCATTTATAATGTAAATATAAATCCATTTTATGCCTGCGATTTGTTACGCTAAGGCGTAGAGGCTGCTCTTCCCGCAGCGCCGGAGACGTAGCAGTCCCAAAATAGATACAGAAACCCTTCTGAATAAGTCCCCTTATTTTTTTATGATGAAGGGGATTTTTTTCTCATAAAATGGATTTATATTTACATTATAAATGCAAACATGAAAAAAATATCGATATTTTAGAAAACGATTTTTTGTGAACCGATACATCAGCTTACGATTTGAATCGATTTAAAAATCGACCTTCGGAAAGAATCGACATCCCTATTGACGTCGACAATGACATTACAAAATGGCGCCAGTTTCACGGTAGGAATTGACTAAATATTGCAAAATTATTTGATTTACAATATTTTTTTCTCAATAAGTACGTGTTTCCGCATATTGAAACTTTGTGTGTGTGCTTATAAAAATGTAATCTTTCTGTAAAAATACGTATCAACACCAAACTCGACTGACGTCAATGGAAAGTCTTTCCTTATTTTTGATTGGTACTTAAGGATGCATAATATTTATTTTAGGTTGCCAAAAAATGAAGGCCTTCAAAAATTGTGGATTGATAATATAGGGCAGAAAAACATAAAACCTTCAGTAGTAAGAAGAGTATGCTCCTTGCATTTTGAAAAATAATGTATAAATAGAACGCTGGATGTAGTTCGGCTTAAGGGTGATGTGGTTCATGTGTCTAAAATAAATTTTCTGACTAAATAATATATTTCGTCACGAATAAATGATTATAATCAGTATACATTATTGTTATTTTATTTATTTTTAATCCTTACTCTCTCGTTTACCTCCAGTATCCACCACTAACTACGCTACTGGTGGAAATCATTACAACTTGCAGGTTGTAAACACTATAAAATTGATACTTTGTGGTGTTACATAAATGGGATATAATTAAAAATGTGTATGGAAGTGGAAATCAGAAGTGGCGCAGCCACCCTTATTGATCGAAATGTTGCATGGAAATTGGTTGTCATATGGTATGAACATGGGATGCTGAAGATTGAGGAATACGTTAGGATAGTTAAATGATTAATGGATTGTGTGAACGGTGGTATGGTTAGAAAGGGGCTGCTCAACTCGATTAGATTACTGAGATAAATGAATAAATAATCTTTAATATTAAAAAATGAGAGATGACGGCTAGTAACTATGTATGAAAGAACACATGTTCCATAAACTTTAAATAAATCAAGATAAAGGTCAGTCTACTGCACGTTTATGGTAACTTGAACTGGTAACCGACCATTACCACGAAAGAAAGGTGTTGTCGAATCTTTATGGCGGCTTGGAAGTTAAGAGCGAGCGCTAGTCTGTGCAGATATAGTAGAAAGAAAATTTGATGGTGTCTCAGATCACAGTACGTAAAGCGAAGCGTGAAAGTACAGGACTTGCGCTCGCAACTAACTTCCCAGCCGCTATAAAGTCTATATATATGATATAATTCACGCAACCTGGACGCATACCGTTGGGGCTGGTTCGATGTGGTGCAGGACAAAACCACTGAAAAAAACTTAGGGGAGACTTCTGCCTAGTAGCGGGACAGCATGGGCTGGACATAAAAATCATACGAAGCCTAATACATTGCCTATAGTGGTGGTTTCGTTAATCTCTGCAGAGGAGAAAAAAAAATGCATGCGTCGACCCAGGGACGCACGGATGGAGTGCTAATGTGCAGATTGGCGTCGTTACGAAAAAACGTTAGCTCGTTGCACGAACTCAGTATAATATTCTGGTGCACGTCGTATACGTGTTCTGAAAAGAAAGGAGTTAAAGCTCCCATCAAGTGCTCTTTCCTTGGCCTCTTCGCTCACTTTTGACTGTTGCTTCACCATATCTTAAAGCAATTACAGTTTCAAAACTTTCCTATTCTGAGTTGAACGTAAGATTTATTTATTTATCATCTCAATACAACTATTATTACGGGATCAACCCAATGCAATAGTGTAATGATCTAATATTTGTTTATTTAATATATACCTATGAGATGGACAATACGTCATAATTTACATAGCATCGATACTGAAAATATCGACAAAAACAACGCTATTTCTTGTGGGTGGAATCGTCGCCATATTTGAGAAACACTTGACTTCAGATCACGTGACCACATGCCATATCCCCTATTTTTCTTATATCAATGCTTTTAGCTTATACAGCCAATTTATTTTTTTAATGGAATGAATAGAATAAATAGTATTTTTATCACTTCCCCTTATTCATTACATTCTTCAAACAAAAGAAAAAATAATAAGGACATCACAGTTTCAAACAGAAAATAAAAGTACATGCACATACATAACATATCACAGTTTGTAACCTTTAACATTTATCCCATTTATAAAAAATTTATGCTTCATGGAACTTAAAGGCTTAGTTAATATATCTGCCACCATTTCTTGTTGGCAAATACTTAACATCAGCAAAACCTGTATTTATTAATTCTTTTATGTAATGGTATCTTAAATCAATGTGTATTTTTCGTTTGTGGCAATATTCTTTACATTCTAACAGCTTTTGTGCACTCTGATTATCGTTATACACTACAATTATAGAAGGTGATTTATCAATTATTTCATTCAGAATTTTTTTAACAAAACGCAAGTCTTAACACACATCACAAATTGCTTAGTATTCGGCCTCTGTGCTTGATAGAGCCACACATTTTTGTTTACGGGCTTCCCAATTTATAGAATTATTCCCAAGATTTATTACAAACCCTGTATATGACTTTCTGTCTACAATATTGTTTGTGGCTGCAATTATTGGCAAACATTGCCCAGCCATCAAAAAAAAACATTTTAGTGCATTTTATGGCTGAGCAATCAATTGCAGGCAACATGTTGCAATATGGCTGCAATAGTATGGCCTTTGATTCAGAAACCTTTAATGAGCCACACAATCCAGCAACAATGGCCGACGAAATGACGCTCATCGCAGCCGCTTACATTGTTTTGGCAGAAAAACGAAAAAAAAAGGACACGAATGTGGATTCGACCCTACCTAAGTAGGCGTGACACTTTGGATTCCATAGACAAGGAATTAATGCTGGATAAATACTTATTTAAAAATTTTACAAGAATGTCTAAGAGCGACTTCGAATTTCTTGTGAACAGAATTGGACCAAACATACAAAGGCAAGATACAAACATGAGGAATGCAATACCTGTGACTACAAGATTAGCAATAACTCTATGGTATTTAGCGACTGGAGATTCTTTCAAGAGTTTAATGTACCTTTTCAGAGTGTCCGCTTATTCAATTTCAACTATTGTCCCAGAGGTTTGTGAAGCCTTAATAGAAGGCTTAAAGGAATACATAAAGGCAAGTAAATATTTAAGTATTTATTAAGTGCACATTTATTTTTGTTCGACGTAGAATCAATGAATTTGCGAATCACTATTGACAGTTAGAGTCACAAGTTCTTCATAAGCAATATTTTCAGTTAACTGGGTGTGGTGTAGATCAGCATACTGTTGTGGTGGAGACTGATAAGGAGCGGTATATTCTTGAGTCGTAGGCTGCCGAGTATTTTGTCGTGATATGTATTGGGACATCTCTGAATATTGGGATTGAGAAGTGCTAGCTCTTTCTCCGCTATCGCCAGCAGGACTCTGTGTAAACGAAGCTGGATTTCTGTATTTTCCCATGTCACAGTCAAATAAAATTTTCATTATGTTGAATTCTGCCTGAGCACGGGTATAGTCATCATATTTACTTAACTTGTTTGCTATATGCTCTGTGAAACCAGCAAATTCATTTCTTCTTTTTTCACCTGCTTCAAGTATAATGTTTTGAGCCTTTTCCAAAATGGGATCTGCAGTCTTGGACTTCTTAGAAGCACGTGGTTTTGGAGAGGGAACAGAGGAAAGCAGAGAGTCCGTTGTTTCTGAAAGTACCTCTTGGTCAGCAATGCTACTAGTCTCTTGGGCTTCAGTCCCCTGAAAACGAAAGAAATATTCAATATAATTAAAAAGGAACCTTTATTTTACAGATGCCATCACATGCGACTGAATGGAAACGAGTCGCAAAGGATTTTGAAGACCGTTGGAATTTCCCTCAGTTTGGGTGCAATGGATGGCAAGCACATTAGAATTATTTGTCCACCCAACAGTGGTACTCAATATTTTAATTATAAGCAGTTTTTTAGCATAGTGCTATTCACGGTAACAGACGCAAGGTACAATTTTTTGTATGTACATGCTGGAGTTCAGGGAAGAATATCCGATGGGGGAGTTTTTAGGCATACGGCTTTTGGGCAAGCACTCCTGAACCAAAATCTTGACATACCACATTGTGAACCCCTTCCGGGTCGAGAAGTATCTACACCATATGTTTTCTTGGCAGATGATGCATTTCCCTTAACCGAAAATATTTGCAAGCCCTATACTGTAGATTTGAACATGGGATCTCCTAAGCGAGTATGTAACTACAGAATATCTAGAGCACGCCGAATTGTGGAAAACTCATTTGGAATTTTGGCATCCATTTTCGTATACTACATACTACTATCAATGTTGAGATGAAAGATGTACAAAATATAGTTATGGCTTGTGCATATTTACATAACTTTTTGCGACGAAATACAAGAGCACAAGCTTTATATTCACCACCTGGGACCTTTGACAGGGAAGATATTGACCTTGGAACGGTGATCCCAGGATCATGGCAAGCTGATGGAGAGTGTTTAACAGATTTAAGAGTATTGGGAAGGAACTCAACAATGAGAGCAAAAGCGATTAGAGATGAATTTATGCATTATTTTATGACAGAGCAGGGACGAGTGGCATGGCAGGACAAATATTTAGGAAATCCATAATCTATTAATAAATATAGGTACATACATTTTCTGTTGCATTTTCACTATCCAGTCCTGTATTTGGAGTATCTTGACTAAGAATAAACGACATCGCATCGTAAGCAAACCATTTTGTTTGTTTGCCGCCAGCACTACCACTTTTATTCTTTTTTCTTTCCTCATTCTTCACATAAGTTCGCAGGCTTCGGAATTTCTTGTAAGCGTCATCACTTGATATATCAAACTTAGTAGCAACAATAGATCATGCATCTTTTTTTGCATTTCTGTCTTTATACATTCCTGTTTCCACATTCCATATTTCAGGATGTAATTGCACTTCATTAATAAAGTCAAGAGTCTTCTCATTAGACCAAGTATTAGTCATTTTAATTTATTTTCTAAACAACACAAGAATGACAGCTGCTGACAGCACAGAATATCGCCACACCACAGATTTATACACGATGGACGTCGCAGCACTCGCAGCACACTTCACGTAGCGCACAAAGTGAAACGCAAAGTACTTCACGTCGCAGGGAGAAAGGGACGCGCATATACAGTAAAACAGAACAACAATATAGATGGCCCAGATATATTGCAGTATTTTCGATTGCGAGGCGATCGTTCGGCCACACGCCGGCTACACATAAAAACATTTTGACATACCAAAAAATATGTGGCTATAATGCCGGGCCATCCTGGTATTGCTAGCAATGTTGCCGGCCACAGTATTGCAACCACAAATTGTCGTAAAATATAGCCTGTTTAGACGCCCCTTAAAATATAGCCTGTTTAGACGCCCCTTAAATAAAAACATAAGCCATAACTTAAGGTTCCCACTAAATACCTTAAAACACGTTTAGCCGCAAGGCAATGAGACATATTGAAGATTTCAAGGTTCGATTTCACTTGGTTGTTTCTTTGGTTTTTGAATTAGCTTCTTCAGAATAAATGCAGTTTCAATTAGCACATATGGTACAGAAAGTTTTTTCTACTCGTTCTACAGACACTAAGGAACTCATGACAAATGGATTTTTATCTAGTATACTTTTATATTTATATAAAACACGTTTACATAATATTGCACATATTTTACCAGATCTCTCACAAAAAAGGTTCTGCTCGAGTGTGTCTTTTCATAGCATTTGTAAAAGATTTTTTTTGAATACACTTTTATTCACAGATATTACATGAAAATGGTTTTTTCCTGTATGTACTTTCATATGTGATTGCAAATTACTTTTTCGAATACATTGATATTTACAGATATGACACGAAAAAGGTTTTTCTTCAGTATGTATTTTCATATGCTTTTGCAACTTATCTTTTCTAATAGATTTATATTCACAGATATGACACGAAAAAGGTTTTACTCCGGTATGTATTTTCATATGCCTTTGCAAATTACTTTTTGTAATACTTTTATATTCACAGATATTACATGAAAAAGGTTTTTCTCCAGTATGTATTCTCATATGCTTTTGCAAATAACTTTTTATAATACATTTATATTTACAGATATGACAGGAAAAATTATTTTCTCCAGTATGTATTTTCATATGCCTTTGCAAATTACTCTTTTGAATACATTGATATTCACAGATATGACACGAAAAAGGTTTTTCTCTAGTATGTATTTTCATATGCCTTTGCAAATCACTGTTTCTAATACATTTATATTCACAGATATGACACGAAAAAGGTTTTTCTCCAGTATGTATTTTCATATGTGTTTGCAAATGATCTTTTTTAATACTTTTATAATCACAATTATTACAACAGTACATTTGTTCAGCGACGTGCGCGTTAAGATGTGCCAAAATGCAACGTTTTTGAGATGTTTTAAATTTGCAAATATCACAATTAAATATTTCCGTTAGTTGTGGTAATGGAGTTTGTTCAACTTGTGTCCGAACTGCAGTGGTGTCTGAGTTCTTTTGTGTCTTATGACAGTATGAAATGTGTTTGGCGAGAATGTCTTTTGTTGAAAATTTTTTGCTACAATCATCACATTCAAAAATATATTTTGTTGATGTCCCTGATGTTTTTTTCGTAAGTATATTTACACTCTTTTGTTTAAAAAATTTTTTTTTCATAATTTTTGCAGGATACTTTCCTTTTTTATTAATTGGTTGATTATTTTTTTTCACTTTAGGCTTTGATTTAATAGTAGGGCTTTCTAAATCGGGGTTTCCTTTACGAACATTGTTTATGTTACAATCAGTAGAATTTGATTTCATCTTCCTCTCAGACGGTTTTGAAAAATTATTTGTCTGTGTGACGTATGGTTCTGAAATACAAAATCACAAACTGTGAACAATGGGCGGAGTTTAAGCCTTATATGCCATAAATATCTCAAATTAACTCAAATATTGGTTAACCCAGGGAGAAATAGAGTAATTATAATATTTTACATAATTATTCTCATGTAATGTTTGTGTATACATATAAAGTATTTCAGCCAATTACTTTGAGTAATGTCTCTCATGTGCATTTTCCGGAGTCCCGGAGAGCGAGAGCGCCTGCCAGGGAGTGGGGGTGCTGCTGTCGTCTCGATTGGTCGATATTATGACTGAATATAAGGTTGTGAACTCAAGACTTCTCTGGGTTCACTTTAAATTGGGACTGACGAAGTGTATTCCTTTTGGCTGTTTATGCGCTGGTAGCTTCGTCGTCCAGGGCTGAGCTGGAGGAGTTTTGGGAGAATGTAAGAGAAGTTCTAGATTTAGTTAGGGGAAACGAAAGAATTGTTGTATGTGGTGATTTGAATGGATGGGTTGGTACCGCTCGACCAGTGTACGAGTCGGTGCTTGGAAAGTTTGGCGATAAAAGGGTTAATGATGCTGGCAAGCTTATACTGGCTGTATGCAAGGAAAAGGGTCTTCTTGTGACAAACACTATGTTTAATCACAATCCATATGTATACTAGAGAAAGAAAGATTGAGAGAAGTATGATCGATTTGTTCCTGGTGGATGACCGACTGCGAAAACAGGTGATGGATACGCGAGTGTTCAGGGGTGCTGACCTGGGAACGGATCACTATCTAGTGATTACTAGATTTAGGGGTCTGTTCGCGGGTTGGCGCTACCGGACGGCAGTGACAGAACCACAGTCGGTCTGTCGCATCCGAAGCTGGAAGCTTCAGGAAGCGGATACTAGGGACAAATATCATGCGAGGGTAGCTGAAAAGCTTGACACCATCGATGGCAGAAAAGAATATGTGGAAAGAACATGGCAGAACCTTAGGGATGGAATGGTAAGTGCAGCGGAAGAAGTGTGTGGAACGATAAAAAGAGGTAGTAGTAAAAGAAGAGATGCATGTTGGAATGATGCAGTGAAAGAAGCTGTAAAGAAGAAGAAGAAAGCATGGTTAGACTACTTGGCCTCTAGTAATGATAAGGATATGAGAGACAAGATGAAAGAAAGATATAAGCTGCAGAAAGTTCATACGAAAACATTGATTGAGGAAGTGCGTAAAAGGCGTAGAATGGAAGCGGACGAAAGGTTGTCGCACAACTTTAAGGAGAACTCCAAACTCTTATGGAAAGAGGTTGGAAGGACCCGAAGTGGTGCGACGGCCTTAAGAATGAACAAAGTGCTTTCGAGAACCAATGACGTCCTCTCAAAACAATCGGATGTCATGCAGCGATGGAGCGAATTTTATAGAGAAATGTATGCGTGTGATGATCTTAGTGAGGGATCCGGGGGTGACGCCGTGACCGGTACGCCAGACCAGGACCTCGATAACACTGAGGTCATCAGTATGAAAGAGATTGAACGTGCGATTCGAAGTTTGAAATGTGGTAAGGCTGCGGGACTAGACAGAGTTACTGCTGAAATGGTCAAGTATGGTGGGCCTCGCGTCTGGGACAGCTTTCATCTGCTGTGCAATTTGTGCTGGCGGACGGGGGATGTCCCGGATGATTGGCGATCCGCAGTCATTGTGCCTTTATATAAAGGTAAAGTTTCACATTTTGACTGCGGGTGCTATCGGGCGATCAGTTTAGCAAGTAAAGTTTACTCCAAGGTATTGACACGTAGGATGCAAGAGAAATCGGAAAGATTTCTATGGGAGGCACAATGCGGATTTAGACCTAGAAGAGGATGCACGGATCAAATGTTTTCTCTCCGCATGATCACGGAAAAGCTGGCTGCTAACCAGAAGATTTTCTGTGCTTTTCTGGATCTTGAGAAAGCATTTGATAAGGTTGTAAGGAAGAAAATGTGGGAACTGTTGCCGGGGTATGGTGTGGATGGTAGATTGCTAAGGGCTGTGCAGTCACTTTACTGTGACTGTAAAGCCTGTGTGCGGGTAGGGCATGACCTGTCACCCATGTTTAGCGTCCAAACGGGCGTAAAACAGGGTTGTGTCATGTCTTCCTGGCTGTTCATACTGTATCTCGACAGCTGTTTACAGAAGCTGGAAGATAGCCGTTTGGGTGTGAAATTGGGTGACATTAAAGTAAATTGTCTGCTGTATGCTGATGATGCAGGGCTTATTGCACCATCAGAGGCAGAACTGCAGGCATTAGTCACGTGTATGAAAGAGGAATGTGAAATTAAAGGTCTCCATTTGAATGCCAATAAAACTAAGGTTCTGGTATTTGAAAGGGACGAAGAGAGAACGAAGTGTGAAATATGGGTAAATCAGGAATGTCTAGAACAGGTAAATGAAATTGTATACTTGGGGAGTGCTTTCAGCCGGGATGGAAGATGTGATTTAGATGGTGCCTTGCAATACGTAACGCAGTGTTGGTACCGACTTTGTTATATGGCAGCGAAACCTGGGTATGCCAGAAGAAGCATAAAAGTAAGTTGAATGCAGTGGAGATGCGATCTCTTCGTAAAATGTACGGCGTTACCATGGCCGACCGAAAGCGAAACGAAGAGATTCGCAATATGTTAGGTTTGAAAGATGACCTTATCACAAAAATTGATAAGGGCGTGCTTCGATGGTTTGGGCACGTTGAGCGAATGAGTGAATACCGAATGGTGAAGAAAATATATAGCGCGAAAGTAAATATTAAAAGGTGTCGAGGTAGACCGAGACTAACTTTCGAAGACCATGTGAGCAAATTGCTCGAAGAGGGGAGGGTCAAGAGTACGCGGATACCTAGACGTGCATATGTGAAGAAGATAATGAATCTGAAAGAAGCGAAAGAGGTATGTAAGGATCGTGACACTTGGCGATCTGTTCTCTCTAGCTACCCCGTCAGGGATTGTGCGTGAAGATAAGTAAGTAAGTATATGCATTTTTGGAGGGAATGAATGGTAGAGACACTGTATTCGAATGATAATGATGACATTCTTCTGACCATGTTACAATTTCATTAATCTAATAATCGCTGCTTCAAATCACACACGGAACAAGCATTTTACAGGATAATTGGAAGATTGACTTGGTGATTGAAAAAGAACATTTAGGCCATAGTTCTATTAGACAAAGTCTAACTATACTTTTTTGTTTTTGGTGATAAAACCAAAAATTTTACAATTCATTTCAAATAATTGCCAGTTTTATAAATGTCTGTTTTTTTTTTAAAAATTTAAATAATGTGTAAGCAATCTAAGAAAACATGGTCTCAGCATCTGTGTCATCAGACATTTTTTGTACAAACACTAAGTTCACGAAAATTTTCTACGATTTAAAGAAACAGGTTTTTGACGCTACGTTAAAAAAAACGGATGATACTCAAATTGTTAAATTTTTTTTGAAAACATGCTTGGTTATTACTCTTTCATTTGAGGTATCACTAACGCGCTTACGTCCCTTAAAACCAGATTGAGGTAGAAAATTTAAATTTTTAGGCAGACTAATAAAAATTCTAATTATTTATTTATTAATGCTCAAAATAATTGCCGCGATTCCTAACACAAGCACGGGCCCGTCGTCTTACTTCTGTTGTAGTTACATTAAACATCATTGCTTCAAATGCTGAATTATCTAAAAAAGAATTATCTTTGAAACTTGAAATTCCGGCAATATAGCTCGAAGCAATGAATGAGGAAGTTTCGCGAGTGGCAGCCTCGTACTGATAGACGAAGTATAGGACGGCCCTCCACTAGATGGAGTGACAAACTGGTAAGAAATGTTTTTTGTGGCATTCCTTGGGTGAGACCTATGTTCAGCAGTGGACTTGTGAAGGCTGTAATGATGAAGATTTAATGATGCAATCATTACTCATCTCTGATGACTAAGACGGAATGACCCACAGCCTGTGATTATGCTGACTCTATACCCACCAGAATGAAACACAGCAGTGCACGCACTGCTGTTTGACGGCAGAAATAGGTAAGAGGAGGAGGGAGGAGTCCATCTGGGCAGCCACAAATAGATCAACTCCTAGGCAAAAATAATTGGTTGTTTGCCAGTGTGTATCTTAGTGACATACATACTAGCTGCATTTATACCGGGCCAAAATATTTTTTAAATGTATTAATAAGAGTGCTTTTGACACGCACTTTGAATTTAGACAAAGGCAAATCAGTAAATCAAGACATTACACATGAAGCCCTCTTTATTTTGTGTCCATGGGCTACAGTAACCACTTGCCATAAGGTAAATTGTACTTTATTTTAATAATATCAAAATAGGGGTATATCTTACCTGTTTCATGATTCTCATTTCCTTCCAATTTGGAATTCTCATATTCGAAAATCTCTTCCTCAACTTTAACGGCATCAAGGCAAACAATTTCGTCCTTGCAATCATTGTCTATATCACACTCTACAGGCCAGATATCTATATGATAAATTTGTGTGAATTGAATCTCATCTCTATTCTTATGCAGTATTGGTATTGACTGAAAGGAAATTCTTTTTTCAAATAAGAGAAAAAGCCACTATAGTGGTGGAGTAAGAGATCCTATACTACCCCATGCCATCCCGCAGATGTTGTATAAAGGGGCAGAGGGAAACTGAAACAGATCGCGGGGCAGCATCTTCTTGACAACAACTTCAAATAATAATAAACACCAGACAAAACTGAGGGTTCAGAGTAAACTTAAATAAGAATGTACATAGTTCATCTATCCCGAGAATCGAGTCTCAACAATTTTTGGATTCAGATTCACAAATGCTATAAATTGACAAAGATTTATCGTTGTTTATTGAGATTTGTTTATATACAATAGGGTAATATATAACAGTATAAACAGTTTGATAATTGTTTTTGTAAAAATAAGTACTATTGCTCTAACAAAAGTAAGTTGGCTTGAAGGACAAACTTAACTTTTCATTCATTCAACATTCTCCCATATGGCAAGGGGAAGCAGCATAGAAAAGTGGATTTTGCAGTGACGGTGTAAGAATATCCACTATCCTATATATATATGCCCACGGGATGGGTGTCTTAAGAGGCAACAGAAGGAAACAGAAACAGGGGTTGGTAGGCAGCATCTTCCTGATAATGACTCCGACTAATATAAATTATGGTTGCCAACTTGCCAAGTGTAGAAAATTTGGCAAAATCCCTCCTATGAAGCAATGTATTAGTGAGACCTTTGTTCAGCAGTGGACTTTTACAGGTTTTAATGGATGGAATGGATAATACCATGGATCCTCCTGCAAGCAACTGCTCCAGTACCACATTTGACTCAATAGCCTGTTGTTGTAATCTTCTGCAACGAATGAGTCTTGCATGACAGGTGAAACAGACAATTATGGGCCCCTCATTCTCATCCAACTGAAAATATGAAAAATCTTCATAAATATGGAACAGTATTCAAATTTATAAGTTTGTAATAAAATCTATTGGCTACCACATTTTACTTTTTCAACATCATTTTTTATAATATTGAAGTGACAAATAAACTTACCATCTAGTAAGTGACTAATGGGTACCATGGGCACCTACAACGAACTTCAAGCAATGGCTACACATGCAATGTTACCTCTGAGGACTAACATGTAATACATCACAGCCTGACTCTCGATATCCTTCAGACTGGGGTACATACTGCTGCTTGGTGGCAGAAAATGGTAAGAGGATGATATCTACGCAGAAAGACAGTTCCAAGCCACCTACATCCATCAACTACATTACTTACATTAATTTCAAAATGCTATGATCACTAAGAACATTACAAATACTTCTCTTATCACTCTAAGTAAACAGATAATGCTTGTGGTAGGAGGAATTTGAAACAAAACACAGGGTGGTGGGTAGTACTACACATTCTGTGAAAGTGTAGTACCACCCTGGTCGAGCCGACCCATCCATGATACAACCATAATATAGCTGCAGCCTGGCTGTACCACATATAAAATAATGATAATAATTCTTTCTACTCTATTCTCTCAGGCTTAGCATTCCATTGACTCCCTTCGAGTTGGAGGTTGATACGTATTTTTACAGAAAAGTTACACTATTATAAGCACACACACAAAGTTACAACATGCGGAAACGCTTAATTTTTAAGAAAAAAGTTATTGAAAATCAATTATTCTTGCATTGTTTATATCGAATCCTACCATAAAACTGACGCCATTTTGTAATGTTATTGTCGTCAGTAGGGATGTCGATTCTTTCCAAAAAAGGTCGATTTTTAAATCAATTCAAATCGTAAGCTGATGTATCGATTCACAAAAAATCAATTTCTAAAATATCTATATTTTTTTATGTTTGCATTTATAATGTAAATATAATTCCATTTTATGAGAAAAAAATTCCCTTCATCATAAAATATAGGGGGACTGATTCAGAAGGATTTCTGTATCTATTTTGAGACTGCTACGTCTCCGGCTACGCCTTAGCGTAATAAATCGCCTTCCTTGTCGTATACTCGAAAAGTGTATGACAAGGAAGCATAAAAAAATCCAGTCAACAAGTATGCAATGGCAAGTCTGATACCAATATGAGGGCAAGAGCATTCCATAGTATAGTATCCTGTTTGGTTATGGAAGATTCAATCATTTGTTATAAAGTTTCAAAATCAGATGTTGAAATTCGAGTAAAATTCACAAAAGATCCATCAGACATTCGGAGATCACTTAAAATATCAATTCCTCTTCCTTCTCATTGTAGTAAGGAATTCCGCTTCCAGCACCTTCTCTTTTGCTTACGTTTCACTCCCGAAATAAGCACTATGTACACAGCACTAATCGGGAGCCTCCTCAGGAGACATTTCTATAACATAAATATTTTTAACAGTGGTAGAGCCACGCGGCAGCTTTTGCTGTCGCATGGATGGGCCGGCTAGAACCGGGGTGGTACCACGACCTCACAGAAAACCAGTGTGAAGTAGAGGTTTAACTCTGCGTTTCGCTTGGTGAGTGCAGGTGGCCAGAGGCCCTTTTTACTGGAAATGAGGCATTCCATCTTAGTCCTCACAGGTGACAACGCATCTATATTTTGATTTATAATAGAAGATAGATGTAGATATCTATGGGCCGAGCAGCCACTTACCATCAGGTGGACTGTGTGCTCATTTGTCACCGTTATCGTATAAAAAAAAAAACACTGACTACTGACTAGTGTGGCCTGCAAAAAGTTCCGCGACATGTCTCGGGACATTCCACGTAGTAGTTGAGACATGTTGCACAACATGCCACTCCGTTCGTACCCAAGTATATCCTACCAGGCTTTACTTAAATGATAATACTGATTTTAGTGCGACCCAGGATACCAGGCTACTTGTTGCTTTTCAGGCTCTGGTTGTATTTGTCACTATATTTAACGCTATACCTTAGAACATATACCGGGCATCATAATGCATTCCTCCAGTGATAACAGCAAATTATCGCAACTTCATTTAGCAATTAATAAATATTAAAAAACTTACAAAACTGTTTGTCAATGTCTTATACAAATTTTGGAGGCCAGTCTCCTTTAGTACAAACATGCGTACATGAACGCTTATACAAATTCTACAAACTTCACCTTCACTAAAGGCCATTGCTGTTTTCTAATTTTCTATAGCTTTATTTTTGATTATTGAACAAAGAGAATTTAACTTTTCCGCTAGGAGTAAAGTATTCTGTGATTTAAGTTTAACTGAGTTTAACTACTACGTTTAAGAGGCGGGACTTCCATAGAAAAAGTTCTTCTTCTTAATAACTGGCTCTACGGCTCTGGGATCTAGCCCTTCTGAGCACAGAACACTAACTGAGCCTGAAGTTACAATATTATATTATAATAATTATTCTTCATAGTATACTGCTTCACAATATGTTGATGCGTCACATTGTGCAGCCCTCGGGAGATTTTGTCGGTAACTTGAGCCAGCAGACAGCTGACGGTTGGCGATGGTATCTCAAGGCGCCTAAGCAGAGAGGCACCTTATTTTGAGAATCAGAGGACTTGTTTTACAGTTTCCACTAATAGTTCACATGCGCAGACACTTAATACACAAAATCGCACCACTTTTACATATCAAAGTCCACTTCAAACCATTATTTAAACAATAAAACAGGAGCAGCAAACCGACCGTGTAGTGGCGGTTAAGAATATCCACTACCCCATATCTTCCCGTGGGTGTCGTAAAAGGCGACAAAGGGAAACAGGCAGGAGATGGGCAGCAGCATCTTCCTGATATTAGTCAAAATAACAATAAAAAAAACTGCGGTTGCCAACCCGCTCGCCAAGCGTGGCAACTATGGCAATATACCCCCCATGAGCAATGACAATAATAAACGGCCCCCAGTCCCCGGCGGCCCCGCTATTCCTGGCTACGGTGGCGACCACGGTAACGGCGGGGCAGGGGGTGCTAAGAATCTCCGGTGGAAGTTCGGTTGCCACCTACGACGACTCGACCTGGCAACATACAACGCACGCACCCTGAGGATTGACGAGAAGATTGTGGAGCTGGAAGAAGAGATAGACAAGTTGTGCTGGCATATTATAGGATTATTCGAAGTCCGAAGAGAGGGGGAGGAAACGGTAATCCTCGAATCCGGCAACTTGCTCTATCACCGGGAGGGCGACCATCTGTCCCAAGGAGGTGTCGGATTTATCGTCCACAAGTCTCTCGTTAACAACGTTGTAAAGATCGGGAGTGTGTCGACGAGGGTTGTGTACCTTATACTCAGAATCACCAAACGGTATTCGCTGAAGGTCATACAGGTTTACGCACCAACCTCGGCACACCCCGATCAGGAGGTGGAGGAAATGTATGAGGATATCTCTAGAGCCATGCATTCCTCCAAAACCCAATATACGGTGTTAATGGGAGACTTCAAAGCAAAACTAGGCACAAGAGAGAACGGTGAGCTGAAAGTAGGGAAATTTGGAATAGGGCAACGGAACCCAAGGGGCCAGCAGTTGGCTGACTTCATGGAGAAAGAGGGACTCTTTATGATGAACTCTTTCTTCCAGAAGCGGCCCCACAGGAAGTGGACCTGGTCGAGCCCCGACGGTTCGACAAAAAATGAGATTGACTTCATTATGACGACCAGACGACAACTGTTCAGTGATGTCTCAGTGATCGCGAGGGTGAAAACCGGCAGCGATCACCGAATGGTTAGAGGCACACTGAACCTAAACGTTAAGTTGGAGAGGTCTCGTCTAATGAAGTCAACGCTCCGTCCCCCTCGTGCTCTAATCCAAAGTCCCGAAACCTTTCAGCTCGAGTTACAAAACCGTTTTCAGTGCCTAGAAGACTGCAATGAAGTGGACGATTTGAATGACAAGCTCGTGGAAACTGTCCATGCGGTCGGAGCTAAGTTCTGCAAGACCCGCCGCAGAAGAACACAAAAACTCTCCGATCACACTCTTAATCTCATGGCTGTTAAACGGGAGATGAAGCTACATTCTTCAACAGACTTGACAGCATACAGTCATCTGAACAGACAGATCTCCAAATGCATGCGGCGGGACTTACGCAACTTCAATACAGCTCGTATTAAAGAAGCGATCGAGCGGAACCAAGGCTCCAAAGTCTTTGCCAGAGATCTGTCTGCCAGAAAGCGCCAACTGTCAAAGCTGAAGACAGAATGTGGCAGCATCGTTTCCGGGGCACCTGAGATTTTGAGTGAGATTGAGAGGTTCTATGGGCAGCTGTACACGTCATCGTTGGAGCCGCACGCAAGTGTGAGTAACGATCCAAGAGCGAGTCTTATCCGACATTATTCCGATGATATCCCGGACGTCAGTCTGAGCGAGATTAGAATGGCTCTCCAGCACCTTAAAAACGGCAAGGCCCCAGGCGAGGATGGAATTACAGCGGAGCTTCTGAAAGCGGGTGGAAAACCGGTACTTGAAGTCCTTCAGAAGCTCTTTAATTCCGTCCTCCATGGTGGCATTACACCGGAGGCGTGGAGCAGAAGTGCGGTGGTCTTGTTCTTCAAGAAAGGCGACAACGCTTTCTTGAAGAACTACAGACCGATTTCCCTTCTGAGCCGCGTCTACGTGCTGTTTTCGAGAGTCATTACGAATCGTCTCATGCGCAGACTTGACGACTTCCAGCCTCCCGAACAAGCCGGTTTCCGAAAAGGCTTTAGCACCATAGACCACATACATACCCTTCGGCAAATTGTACAGAAGTCCGAGGAGTACAATTTGCCACTATGTCTGGCGTATGTGGACTATGAGAAAGCCTTTGATTCCGTCGAAATTTGGGCGGTGCTGCAGTCCCTTCAGCGGTGCCAAGTTGACTGTCGGTATATCGAAGTGTTGAAGTGCTTGTACAGTAGGGCTACGATGGCTATCCGAGTACAGAACCAGAGTACGAAACCTATCCAATTGCAGAGAGGTGTAAGACAGGGTGACGTCATATCCCCGAAACTCTTTACCGCTGCATTGGAAGATGTTTTCAAGCTTCTGGACTGGAAAGGATACGGTATCAACATCAATGGCGAGTACATCACTCACCTTCGATTTGCCGACGATATAGTCCTTATGGCAGAATCGCTGGAGGACCTAAGCACTATGCTCAATGACCTCAATAGTGTTTCCCAACGGATAGGTCTTAAGATGAACATGGACAAAACAAAGATCATGTTTAATGTCCATGTCACACCTATGCCGGTAGTTGTTGGGAACACTAAGCTCGAAGTTGTTGACGAGTATGTTTACCTGGGACAAATAGTCCGACTAGGTAAGTCCAACTTCGACCGAGAGGTCAATCGACGGATTCAACTCGGTTGGGCAGCGTTCGGGAAATTACGGCACATCTTCTCGTCAGGTATACCTCAAAACTTGAAAACGAGACTGTACACCCAGTGCGTGTTGCCAGTGATGACATACGGAACTGAGACGTGGTCCTTCACTGCTGGCCGGATGAGGAAGCTCAAGGTCGCTCAGCGAGCTATGGAGAGGGCTATGCTCGGAGTTTCTCTGCGTGATAAACTCAGAAATGAGGATATCCGCAGTAGAACTAGAGTGACCGACATAGCCCAACGGATTAGTAAGCTGAAGTGGCAATGGGCCGGCCATATAGCTCGAAGAACCGACAACCGATGGGGAAGAAAGGTTCTCGAGTGGCAGCCTCGTACCGGCAGGCGAAGTGTAGGGCGTCCCCCCACTAGATGGAGTGACGACCTGGTAAGATATGCAGGAAGTCGATGGATGCAGGTGGCTCAGGACCGTGCTTTGTGGCATTCTTTGGGGGAGGCCTATGTTCAGCAGTGGACTTGTGAAGGGCTGTAATGATGATGATGAAACCGACGCCGATCAAGTTCCCGCCATAAACCTAGTAAAAGTTGGTAAAATAAAAGTAAATGCACAGACTAACTAGTAGATTCTACACGAATCAGACGGACATCTCTAAACTTATTCGACTTAGCTTCTGCGTCCTGATTGGTTGTAGCAAAATGATATGTGACATTTAATTTTTTTTTAAATTGAAGCATCTATATCAGGCAAAGGACGTCCCAAATAAGCTTATTTATTAATTACTTGCAAAATTTATTTTAAAATATTGAAAATAAAATAAGGTAATTAAAAATAAAACAATGGTGAAATTTAATATTTTTTTATTAGTTATTAATTTTTAATTTACAATAATTTTGTTTACAAATTTAATAATTTATTAATATATACAATATTAAAAAATATATTAAAAAAAAAAAACAAATTAATTACTTAATTATCATACAGTCCTCATTTTAACTTTACAATAATTTTGTTCACAAATTTAATAATTTATTAACATATACAATATTAAAAAATTATAATCTAAACAGATCTCTACAGCGCTTAAGTGTTTATATTACATAGCTTCATATTGACTTGGAATGTGCTGTGCCCCGCATCCTTACCTAAAACACAATCATTTACAGCCTTAATAAAAGCATTTTGCTCCATTTGTTTATAAACAAGATTTGTTCCATATTGGTAAAAATTGTATGTAACTACATAAAAATTAAAAATTGTATGTAGTTATGAAGCTTTGGCAGCTGACAACGGCTGATAAAGACTATTTTCCTGTAGAAATGAGTATGTATTGTCTGAAATCAAAAAATTATACCATCAAAAACATAACTCGTAAAAAAAACCAAGTCTCGCAACTCAGTTCTTCTATCGTAAAAAGTTGAGAGATCCATGTAATACCAAGTCGATTAATTTATTCCAAAGACATTTAAGTAGTAGTAGTAATAGACCGGACATCAGCAGCAAAATTGTCGTCTGTAACTTATGTCCTATAGGATATATCTCCGTTAGTCTTAGTGACATCGTCATAAAGTCAAGACGCATTCTTTTCATATCTTTAAAAAACATTTTTATAGAAAATATGCCCGGTTTGTTTTTTCATTTATTTATAACATTTTAATAGGTACAAGGGTGACATCTATTTAACTTGCAAAAACCGTGAGGTTTGTCCGCAAGTTACAGTCTCACATATAATACAAGGTAATAAATAATACAATCAATTCCCCTGGTGTTGCGGTTGTTCATGGGCGGCGGTAGTCACTTACCATCAGGTGAGCCGCATGCTCGTTTGCCCCCTCTCCTATAAAAAAATAAAAAAAAAAAAATCATCTGATCTATGGCTACTTACAAACATTGACAATAATATTAAATAGGTACATGTTTAATTGTATACATGTTTTAACTCATGAATTACGACCCAACGTTAATTGCAAATCACCGCG